AGATATCAAACGCACTCTGACAGACTCGAGTCGGTACAGAAACAATTCTTATTATTCGCATTAAATAATTTGCCTTGGGATTCGACATTATATCTCCCACCGTACAAAAGCCGCTTGAAGCTCATACATTTGCCAACGCTGCACAGCCATAGAGAGATGCTCGGGTTTTGTTCATGGTTAAGATCTTGAACGGGATGGTCAATAGTCCCTTTCCACTGAACCAGATCACGTTATGTATTCCTTCTAGGCCTTCTAGACATTACAAGCCCATTAAGTTAACTATTTGTAGAACAAATTTTGAAATGCATGATGCTTTTCGTTGCCTATGCCAGGACTTTAATAAGCATTACGACTATTTTAACACCTCCGACTCACATTTTACCATTAAGAAAACCTTACTTGAGATTTTGAATAAATAACATGAAAACCTTTACATTGCACCTTATCGTCCAGCTGGTGAACTGTATTTCTGTTCAGTTTATGAGGTAAACGTAAACGTGAATCGCTTTTTTGTAACTAAATAAATTAATATCTTTAACCGGGAACGATAAATTACACAATGATATATGATGATAATATGACTGCTTAGTACAACTGTAATCGGCTTCGTATATTTTCGCGACCGCGTAAGACAATACGAGCATGGATCGTAAACTCGGCCTTTCCGACCATGATCAACAGCTTGTCCACAGCGCGGAGCGAAAACTAGAGCTTTCCGCCTGCCACACACTTAAAGTAATGACTTCGGGAACATGGATCGGAAACTCGTTCTTTCCGACCATGCTGAACAGCTTGTCCACAATGCGGAGTGGAAACTAGAGCTTTCCGCCTGCCACACATTCAAAGTAATGACTTCGGGAACATGGATCGGAAACTCGTTCTTTCCGACCATGTGCAACAGCTTGTTCATAGCGCGGAGCGGAAACCAGAGCTTTCCGCCTGCCACACATACAAAGTAATGTCTTCGGGAACAAGGATCGGAAACCCGGCCTCACCGACCTTAATCAACAGACCTCGTTTCCGCCCACACAAAAGTAGACTGAAGACTAGGCCTCGCCAGCTACCAAACCTGCTATTTTATGCTGTTATTATTATTATTAATATTATTATTATAAATTACTATGTATCTAAATTTTCTATTCTCATTTGTCTGTAAGAAAACATTTTTCTGTAGACCAAATAAATAAATAAATAAGCCGTATGAATTTTCCTATAAAAGAAGCACCAACTCTATAAACAAATGAATGAAAGCTATATATATTTAACATTTTTGACTTATATACTTGGCAAGTATTTTTTTTGTAAACAACAAACAAAAAAATTTCATTTTGTGCTAACTTCGAAACTAGAAGCTTATTTTATTTTTAATGTGCTTTAAAAAGGACCTACTGCCAATAAAGCCTTGCGGTTTGCTATTTTTTCAAATGTGTAATGCTTCCGTTTAAACATCTTTGTGGATAAACAGTTTTTTGTTCAGAAATTGCTTGTTTACGTTTTTTGTCTTTCATATTAAAAACGTTTGGCATAAGTTGAAATCATAGGGATGCCGTTTTCTTTCGGTTTCTCAATGGATTTTATACTTGAAAAGGCACCAAAATATGTATGCAACACTTTTACATATCGTCATTTAAAGTACAAAACCGCGCATCAAGAAAATGCAAAACCTTGTACGTGAGGTTGCCTAAATTTTATAGGAGAGAGTAAAATTTCTCATAATTCAAAACGGTTCCCTCTTTTAAACTTAATTATCTCTTCTTATGTCTAAGTATCAAAATTTTATTATAAATGATTAAGGCCTTGATGATAGGAGCTTCCGGTGAGCAAATATCTTTTTTTGGCACAAATGTCAGTTACGAGGTTTTGCACAACCACGATACGCGATTTTTTACTTTAAACGACGATATACAGGTTGGCGCTTACACAATATGTTAGTGTTTGGCCTAGCTTCTCCTCCCATATGGGGCGTGCACCTTGATTTTGTCACACAAAGGGGAAGGGCAGTTTTACGCCGACTCCGAACGGCAATTGTATTTTTATGAGAAGCTGTTTTCATGACAGAATACACTCGGAGGTTTACTATTACCAATAGAGGAGCGACAGCGAACAGCGGAGTGTATATATCGCTGGCTGAGTGGAATATCGACCTATCTCGGCAGCCAGTTCGAAAACGCCCTATCTCAGAAAACTTTTCAAAAACGCCCTACTTCAGAATTTTATTTAAAAACACTCTATCTCAGAATTTGGTTGAATAACGCCTTATTTCATAATCCGGTTCAAAAACGCCCTATCTCAAACGAAAATACATTGAAAATAAGCTGAGATAGGGCCTTTTTGAATCGGCAGCTAAGATAGGGTGTTTTCAATCAAATTCTGAAGTAGGGCATTCTTGAAAAGTTTTCTGAGATAGGGTGTTTTCGAACTGGCTACTGAGATAAGTCGATCTTCCACTCAGCCATCGATATGTAATATAAAAAATAATGAGAGGTACTATAAGAAAATGTACCCAAAATTCAGGAGCAAATGAAAAAATGCTCATTGAAAATAACTCACATGTATAAATTAAATAATATAACTTGAGCGGTTACAGCGCTAAACAAAAGGAAGAGTTAGAAAAAATAGCAATGCGGTTTGAAGGAAACATAAGACCATAAAATGTTTGTTTGTTTCGTTAATTCTCCCAACCTTTTAAGATATGACACTCCTTTCTTTACATTAGTTTACAAATATACACTTATTGTTCTACAATGGCAAACATTTTCGTGGGATGTTTTTTCTTTTCGAAATTAGAAAATACATTACGATCATATTGTACCGAAATAAGTGTGATATCCCTGCATTTTGTAAAAGCCAGAAAGAAGCATCAACTGTATGAAAAAATAAAAGGGAGAAGTATACATACCTTCTATAGTTTTGAAAAAATATAGGCTTATGTTTACTTAAATGTGATATAAAGGCTCATTAAAATGTTGTGTAATGTCTTGTTATCATAGTGCTTTGTATTTTTATTGTCCACCATACGTGAGTCGTTTCTATTGAAAAAGATCTAGTACTAAGATTTTTTGTTGGTTTCAAATTGTTTGTTTATTGTTTTTAATTTTTAAAATTCCTACATTTGACATGTATGTGATGGCGGAGTTGCCGCTTTCCTCCTTTTCGGTGGGTTTTATATTAAAAAAGGCATCAAAATGGGAAAAAACGTCCTTGGTATCTCTGCATCTGTTAAACTTTTTATGGGAAGATGTATGAAAATCCCACTTGCTCTAATTTCATATGCTTAACAGTATCACAACAGTATGTTTACAGTATCTCCCCATAATTTTTCATATGAAAAAATCTATTATATGCATCCCACTCGATATCATTGAATTCCTCATAAGGACATGTAGTCCCTCTAGTTTAGCGTATCAACAGTTCATATGGCTTCATACCATGTAAATCCACCATAAAGAGAACGGTATAATTTAACTTGTTTTAATATGAATAAATGAAAGACGGAAAATAGTCCATATTTTTTAAGTTTTAACCATCTTCATATGTGTGTGGTACGACCGAGTGGCCTTTTAAGTTTTACAAATAATAATTTTAAGGTAGAAAAATTAAACTGAATAATAATTATTAAAATCAATATATCGATGGCTGAGTGGAAGATCGACCTATCTCGGCAGCCGGATCGAAAACGCCCTATCTTAGAAAACTTTTCAAGAACGCCCTACTTCAGAATTTTATTGAAAAACAACCTATTTCAGAATTTTATTGAAAAACACTCTATCTCAGAATTTTGTTGAAGAACGCCCTATCTCAGAATTCGGTTCAAAAGCGCCCTATCTCAAACGAAAATAAGCTGAGTTAAGGCGTTTTTGAATCGGCAGCTGAGATAGGGCGTTATTCAACAAAATTCTGAGATAGGGTGTTTTCCAATCAAATTCTGAAGTAAGGCGTTCTTGAAAAGTTTTCTGAGATAGAACGATGTTGAAAAATTTTCAGAGATAGGGCGTTTTCGAACTGGCTGCCGAGATAGGTCGATCTTCCACTCAGCCATCGATATTTGATCGAAAAAATAAAAATTAAGTAATAATAATTTCTTTTGAGCGAAAAAGTGAAACTGTGATTACACTGGTTTACAGAAAAAATATTTTATTGATGCAAGCTTCACTTAACTCGTGTGGGGTCCACTGATATATGTATGTATGGGAAATAGTAAGTAGAAAAGTAGTAAAAATAATCCTAATCTTTTCCACTTTTTTCTACTACCCCAAAATGCATGGCCGCAATTGGCATGCAGAAAAAGTGAGGTTATGTAAGTGACGTCAACTTATATTTATTTCACCATGTGCGTGCAGGTTTGTAGCCTATTAAACTGTAGTAAAAATCCCGTTTATTTTTTTAAATTTTTTTGGTTGAAGGTGTTTTGCTTTTCTCCGTACAAAGTACATTTGTTAGACAATTTTCTTTTATACGGAAGACACGGCCAAAAAAAAATTTCCAAAAATCACCAGAATGTTTTAGAAGCTTGAAACTTGCGTTTTGCTTTACTCCAATTTATTGAGCTCAATGATTAAAAAGTTTGAAATTTTGGTGAAACTTTATAGAATTCTTATAATTTCTGTACAAAGTTTGAAATATGAATTTTTATGATACTTATCTGTTGTATAATCAGCTAGACTTTTATAAAAAACAACCAACAAAACATTAAATAAACAAATGCAAAATTTTCAAAACTGTTCAAAATATCGCACTTCTATTAACTCCAGTTAGCACAAACCCAACGATTCATTGAGGGGTTAATGTTTGCACTTGGAATCAAACTATGGAGCATAAAATACTTCCGTCTTGAAAGTAATAATTTCGTACTTATTTACACCAAAATATTTCTAACCAAAACAAAATGCTCGTGGTTCCAAAATTTGCATATCACATTTTTGGAACTACATGTTACTTAGTTGTCCCACTTTAAGAGTTATTATTGCGTGTTGTTATGTATAGCAACAGTTCTGACTCACAGCATGTAATTCGTTTTCGAAGCGTTGAAGGTTTTCTTGAGTACAATTAATGCGAGCTATAAAAGCACGCTCTACCACATTAGCCTGGATACGAATATCACGTGCGGCATTCATTAATATCGAATTGAGCGTCTGGCGTAGTTTAATTGATTTTTGACGGCACTTCTCACATTCTTCTAAAGTTTCTTTACTAAAATGTTCCCAATACTGCTCGGAGGCTTGTCTAAATATATCTTTGTTTAATAAAGATTACGTAATCACTTTTGTATTTTGAACACAAAACTCACTCAGCAGGTTGGCGTATTGCGCCTGGTCGGAACATTATGGTCTTCGAATAATTATTGAGACCTACATTAATGGCGTCCATTTCGTAGGCTTCCTTTTTGTCGCTCCAATCGTACTCAAGACGTTGACGCGCTGTGCGATTCTCTACTTGCTGCTGCTCGAAATCTTCCAGTGTTTTCTTCAATTGTTGACGAATAGCAGCGATTAGTGCTAATTCAATTATAAGCTCTTCTTCAGGCGTATCTCGTACTAATTCAGTATCGGGTCGGCCGGTACGCTTTTCTATACATTCTTTGACTAAAATATACGAAATTTTGTTATTACATATTTTTTTAGTCTATAATGTGTAGTAGTTTATAAGTATTTTATTTATGGGCAGAGCTGGGTCGTAATCATTCCTTTAGAAATTAAAATACTCTCAATTTCAAATTACAAGGATTTGTAATTAGTAGGGATGTGCCGGATAGAGATTTTGCCGGATAACCGGATTCCGGATACCATAAATTGTTGGAGTTGAAAAATAAGAGCCGGATTCGGATATCCGATCGGATATCCGGTAGACTGCTGCCCTTTATACATTTCACAATCTATACTATTATATATTTTGAAAGCCGTTTTTTGTGTTCGCAAAGCTCGAGAATGGCTGAAAATTTTTTCTTGAAATTGCGTACACCTGCCGCACTTGTCACAAGGATGGTTGCTGGCTAAAAGAAATCCAATATATAATAGGGGGCGTAGAACTCCCATACAAACCGAATTTTCCATACTGCATATCTCTGGAAGTGTTCATGGTAGAGCTCTATACCTTGGTATGGAGATACACGAAAGCAATCACAAACTCATGAAGAAAAATTGGAGTTATTGGAAAAGGGGGGCGTGGCACCTCCGATACAAACCGAATTTTTCATACTGCATATCTCTGGAAATGTTCATGGTAGAGTTCTGGAACTGGTATGGAGATATACGAAATCAATCGCATAGTCATGAAGAAAAATTCGGACTATTTGAAATGGAGGCGTGGCACCTCCCATAAAAACCGAATTTTTCATAATAAGTATCTCTGGAAGTGTTCATGGTAGAGTACTGGAACTTTATACGGCCGTGGCACCTCCCATACAAGTCGAATTTTTCTTATTGCATATCTCTATAATTGTTCTTGGTAGAGTACTGGAACTTGGTGTGGTGATATATGAAATTAATCGCATAGTCATGGAGAATATATGGAGCTATTGTAAAAGGGGGTGTGGCACCTCCCATACAAACCAGGCTTTAACACTACGTATTTCTGGAAGTGTTCATGGTACAGTACTGTAACTTCGTATTAAGATATGTATGTATATGAAAGCAAGCCCATACTCATGGAGAAAAATGTGGCTATTTGAAAAGAGGGCGCTGGCCTACAAATGTACCGACTTTTAGCTATCTTTGAATGTTTGTGAGTGAAATTTTCCTAAATGGGTGTCCGGATTTTAACGAAATTTTTTGTATGTGTTTGAGTGGGTCTCTGTATGCTTTACATTCACAATTTAACCCGCCAGTTGGCGTTGTAGTTGAGTTATTACTAAAGATCTTACTGATGATCCGATTTGGCTAATATATAAAATATGTATTGGTAGAAATACTGTTGCAAAAATCGCCAAGTGAGAAAAGGTGCGGTGAATGTCAAGTTAAATTGACCTGTTGCTCCATTGAGTATATCGAACTCTCCTGTGTTACGATTGGCCCAATGGATGTGATTTTCCAATATTATTATGCGTGTAAGCTTTTACGGTATTTCGTCTAAAATAAGTCTACGTATATTGCATTTTGAAATTGCCACCATAGAAACGGATCATTGTTGCCGCCAGGGAGTGACGAGGAAAAAGTTCTTCAAATTTATGTCGTGCAGAAATAAATGACGAACATCGTCGAAAACTGTGCAGTGCTGCCAAGTTTTTCAATTTGAATACACTATTAGACTGGAAATTTTAGGCAATGATATGAAATTTTCGTTACGATTCGACTCTCGAAAAACGACTTGCATTCGACACGACTCTCGCGATGAGGCGGTATATTTAAGGGATTCCCAAGCTATCATAAAATAGTTGGTTTCAATTAATACAAAAATTTATTTTGCCGTTAAAAACTTTACTACATACCACCCAATTAGGTTTTTGTTTAGCTACATACTTATGACCAGATTATCTGCTTTTTTGAGCTGAACTATCCAAAACATAATTAAGAATACAAAATTTTTACCCTGAAATCCAAATTATAAAATAATCCTGTATTAAAAATATAACTTTTCCATCTACAGCCCTGATTTATAGATTAAAAAAGTTAATTAAAATCGTACTATTATGCATGCTTACATATCAGCCGCTTCCCGTATCGTTCCGCAGTTGCAATATTTTGTGGCCTACGTTTCAAAACTAGTTTTTTCTGACATTAATAAAGCTAAAAACTGGGTAAAGCTTAGGGCTGCCAGATATCTATGTTGCCAAACCGGGACACTTTAGGGAGGGCCTCTCGCTCCCTTCCCTTTCATTTCGACGTGCGAAAGGATGCAGTGAAATTTTATTTTGACAGACAAAAACAAAAACATAAAAAACATGAGATCATGAGATCATTACAACGTACGCCAACAAAACAAAACAACTTATCACAACTAAAGCACAGAGAATTTTTCATAATGCATGAACCTCTTTTTATTCTTTATAAAAATACAGTTTATATAACTTAAAAAACTTCGAAATTAATTTAAATTTTAACAACTGATCTTGTCGGGTTCGTAACAAATTTTATTCTGAAAACAAATTTCAAAATTTTTCATTTTACATTTTACATGAAAATATATTATTCAAAGCAACTTCTAATTCTTCTGAAGACAGTGCCATAAGCATACAGTAGAATACCTTAACTACTCCCCCTTTTTAAATTAGAAACGTCCTCGTTTCAGTTAATAGGTTTAGTTCTACTGTGTGACTATAACAAGCTGAAATAACTTAAAAATAAAAATTCTATAATTCATAAGTCAACAAGTAACAATATTAAAAGTAATAAATTTAATAGAATTAACACAAATTGTAAATAATCAAAATTGATAGCGCAATCGAATGAAATATTAATATATTGCGTAAAATTGTACGTATTACCTTTAAAATACCGAGCAAACATTCATCTGAGATTGCTTTTATGAATTCTTTTCCCTTCGATTAAAACTGTTGTTCCAAGATCCCTTTCAATCGTCTTTTCCACAAAAATTTTACCAAACTTATTTCCTAGTCGCCTATTTCTTCTCACAAAAACTCGTTCTCCAGGTTCATATGATTTCATTGTTTTATTTCGATTACGTCTTCTTAAAATTTGTTCCTGAACCTTAACGAATCTCTCTCGAACTTCACTTAATTTATTATTTGAACAATTTTGTAAAACGTCAATACCCTGTAGTGAAACGAACTAGTGCGGAACTGGTTCGGTTCTAGTACGTTTGGAACCTTGACTACACCTTTTCCAACTGTATTTCAGAGAAACCTAAATGTATTTCAGAAAACCACAAATTTATTTCAGAAAAGCTCAAATGTGTTTCAGGAAAGCGTAAATGTGTTTCAGAAAAACTCAGATGTGTTTCAGAAAACCGCAAATGTGTTTCAGATATGCAATATGCCTTTCAGAAAAACACAAACCCATTTCAGAAAAGCTTAATTTTATTTCAGAAAACCGCAAATGTATTTCAGAAAACCACAAATCTTTTTCAGAAAAGCTCAAATGTGTTTCAGAAAAGCGTAAATGTGTTTCACAAAATCACAAATGTATTTCAGAAAAACTTAAATGTATTTCAGAAATCCATAAAAGTATATACTTTAGAAAATGCAATTACTAATGTATGTAGTATGCATGGAGATAAACTTAAAAAAACAAATATTTTATAAAATACGCAGTTAATATTCAATAGTAATTTTATGCGGTAACGAGTAATAAATTTATTAAATAGAATTAAAGGATAATTGCACGATTTGCATGATGGACATGCGCAGAAAATCAGTCGTGCGTTTGCTTCCATGTGGACATTTATTGTACGCAAAATGTAGTGGACCTGTCATTGTAGAAGAAAAGTGTCCAATATGTCGAGGAAATATTGAAGGTAAGTACTCGTACATATAATAACATATACATCTAAATAAATAAATAGCATTTTATATTTATCTATTTATGCATATAAAAAATTTTTGTGTGCATATAACGAGGTTCTGGAAAAAACTCATTACAGGAAATATAACAACGAGGACAGATTGCGGATTGTTGAGGCCGCTAATAAGGGAGAAGACTGGTGCAGTTTAGCATCATCTTTAGATATAGTTTATAAAACTGCTTTCACATGGGTGCAATCCGGCAGAGTCGTGACTCAAAAACGAGGTGGAGGGAATGAAAAGAAGCTGACTGAAAACGAGGTAGCTGTAATGGTTCGTTGGGTGGAAGAAGACTGTACTGTCACCTTAAAGCAGTTAGTCTCCAAAGTGCAAACGTATTTGCACATCGACCGCTGCAAACTACATAGAGGGTAAATTATTCACCCTCAAAAGCGTGCACCATATACCAACGACGATGAACACGTTGGAAAACAAGCAGAAACGTTCCGAATTTGTATCAGCTTTGAGTGGTTTTATTCAGCAAGGAAAGTAAATAGTTTACATTGATGAAACCAATTTTAACTTGTTTTGTCGTTGTGCAAAAGGTCGCGCACGATCTGGGACGCGAGCAGCAGTAATACTGCCGCCATCAAGAGAACCAAATGTACATTTAATCGGTGCTGTAAGCGTAGCGGGTGTGTTATCAATGGAAACGCGACGCGGCTCTTTTAAAAAAGAGAGTGCTGGAGAGTGGGTGAAGGGGATCCTCGAGAAGTGGACCGGTTTGGGAAATAATTTGGCGGACTTAGTTATTGTGTGCGACAATGCACCTTGCCATGCTGGACTGGAGCAAGTTGCCGCCAATAATGGATCGGCTACACTTTTGCGTCTTGGGCCATACTCGCCAATGCTCAACCCCATCGAAAACGTATGGGCGAAAACAAAAGCTTACGTAAAAACGCATATTTCACTTCCCGCTGTGAATGGACCTGGAGTGGTCGAAAGGCGTTTGCAGTACTTGGAAGGCTTAATTCACGAAGCAAAAGAAACCATTGCTACTGTGGATTGTGCTCGCGCTATAAAACACTCATCCATTTTTTCTCTGATGCTTTGGCATTACGCGACATGCCTGTAGGAATGTAATTCTTTTACTTATTTTTTAATAAATTCGCACACTCACAAGTACTGTTTGGTCGTTGCTTATATAATTCTCACTTAATTGGGAAGACGATGGGGATAAAAATTTTGGGAACATACATACATTTGTATTTTTCTGAAATACATTTGTGATTTTCTGAAACACATTTCAATTTTCTGAAATACATTTCCGCTTTTCTGAAATAGATTTGTGGTGTTCTGAAATACATTTGTGGTTTTCTGAAAAAAACTTGAGCTTTTCCAAAATAGGTTTTCGTTTTTCTGAAAGCCATATTGAATATCTAAAATACATTTGCTGTTTTCTGAAACACATTTGAGTTCTTCTGAAACACATTTGCGTTTTTCTGAAAGGAATATTGAATATCTGAAATACATTTACGCTTTTCTGAAACACATTTGAGTTTTTCTGAAATAGATTTGTGGTTTTCTGATATACATTTACGTTTCTCTGAAATACAGTTGGAAAAGGTGTAGTACGCGTTAATTCTCTTTTGCATGCTAGCGACTGGCGAATTTAACATTGCGATGTCCTGGGAAGTGTCAATTATCCCCCGTTGCATCCCTTTGGCTCTAGTTCCGAACCAGTTCTAAATTCGACAGATAAGATCTAGTTCGTTTTGCATCCCTTTTTCTATAGTTCCGAACCAGTTCCAAATTCAACAGATAAGATCTAGTTCGTTTTGCATCCCTTTTTCTATAGTTCCAAACCAGTTCCTAATTCGACAGATGAGATCTAGTTCGATCTGCATCCATTTTTTATAGTTCTCAACCTGTTATAAATTCGTCACCTTAGATCTACATTTCTAATCAGGCTTGTCGAAACATTTCCCTTGTATATTAAATACGATCGGTTGAAGGAAGGACAATACAATCACAAATGTTTAAACGCATTTATTAAAAATTTATAAACCACATTAGTAGTAGTGGTAGCAGTATTGAACTTAAGTAGAAAGTTAAAAAAAAAACTGCGTTCTGCTTAAAAGTAAAAATATTAGTTCACTTTGTCTTACTTGTCTAAATTTAAGCACGTTGATTTTTAAGTAAATTCAGTTCTTTTTAAGCTTATATGTATGTGAAGTACTGCGAAAGTTTTTGTTGTACTTAACTTAAATAAGATATACAGTCAGTCAATAAAGTTTAGGTACAGTGAAGTTTTTACAATACCGGCAACTATTTTTTAAATGTTTTATTTTTCCCTAATTTTTTATAAAAAATATGGTTAATTCTACACCAAAAACCCCAAAAATCAGAGTTCCAATCCTTATGCAAAATTAAAGAAAACTGCGAATTTCCATCCAAGAATTGCAATTTGCACTCTTTAGAAAAATGTTAAGTACTCAGTTATTAGCCCATTCAATTTTAGTATAACAAAGTGCAAGTTTGAGGTAGGTAGGACTTACCATTGATATTTAGCAATGTTTTTTTTTGTTGTTTGGTAAGTCCTAGCTTCCTCACACTTGCACTTCATTATACTAAAATTGAATGGGCTAAAAAACTTTTTCTAGAGAGCGTAAATAGAAAGTGAATTATTTTAATACAATTTTGCAGAATTTTCTTAAATTTTGCACAAGGTTTGGAACTCTGAGTTTTGGGGATTTTGTTGTAGAATTGACCATATTTTTATAAAAAATTATCGAAAACTAAATTATTAAAAAAATAGTTGCCCGTATTGTAGAAAATTCGTTGTACCTAAACTTTATTGACTGACTGTATAGAGGTAGCTGTGGTGGATGGCATAAAAAAATTAATTTGTCTTTTCTTAAAAAAAAAGGTAGCTCTGGTGGCTTGCATTTTTAAATAAATTTAGTGAGAAAGTGGTAATTATTTTGACACTTTTTTTTAAATGCCCCTTTTTCTGCAACTGCATTGCCTTTCTCAATTGTCCTTCAGGATCCTGGCCTTTGTTTATAGAATCACTAAGTATAATGATTATTAAGCAACTCAAAAACCGACGTATCCTTTTGAGAGGTAGCCGCACCCTTATAAAAGGAATAAGACCTAAACTTTTCAGGTAAAAATTTCAGTAGGCTGCGTCTTTATGGCCTTTTCAATTTTATAAATTATCATTATTTTTAAGTGGAAAAATAAAACTCAAAATTAATGATAATCTCTCCGCGAAAAAAATAAAAATCATTAAATAATCATTATTTGTAATCCCAAAAATAAAAATCAAATAATAATTCTTTCCGTTTGAGCGAAAAAATAGAACTCAATAATAATTCATAAAATAATGATTAAATGCTGATTTAAATTATTTTACTCATAATGATTACCATCCCTGATTTTAAAATTTAAAATAGAATAATTTAGTGAAAGTACCACATGTCATTGCTTTTGGACTGGTGCGGAACTAGTTACTATCGGACTGGTTCGTTTTTGGCAAAATCTGGTTCACTATTTCGTGTTTTCCCTACAGGGTAGGTTTAGCATTCGTTGTGGAGTGAATGCTGTTATTATATTTAATAGTAGCTAACAAAACAAGGTCTACTGTCTCATGTTACTGTTGTAGCTCCTTAATACAATGAGATATTTCACTTGACGTTGAGTGAAATCTTTCAACCTGACCATTAGTTTCAATGTGTAATGTGGGAATGAAAAATTGCTCTATTGAAAAATTGTCCCTCAAAAAAGTTTTGATAACATAAGACTGAAAAGCCTTTTCATTATCTGAAACCATTATTTTTGTGTTTTTAAATACTAACAAAATTTCAGGCAAAGCATCTTTAATATCCAAAGTAGATCGCGATGCAATCGGCTTAACCATAGCACATTTTGAAAATTTATCCAAACAAGTTAAAAAATTCTGTTTACCTGGTATGAAAATATCAAGGTGTAGAATTTCGACAGGATAATTTGGAATTGGAGTTCTACCAATTTCCAAATTTGATGGTTTCCGATGGTACTTGTTCTCCAAACATATTTTACAATTCGCGATTACTGACTTTAAAGTTTTTTTAATACCAGGGAAGTAGTATTCGCTAATAATTTGCTTAAAATTTTCTAGCAAACAACGATGCGCGCGATTATGTTCAACGGTTACTGTTTCCAGTTGATCATCTCTATTTATCAAGTCTATCACGAACAATTCTGTATGCCGAAATTTAACACCTGGAAACGAAGAAGCTATAGGATTTTGAATTTCCGCCAAAGTCTCCAAATCACAGTGAATCGCGTTAGTACTATTTGGATTAACCACATCTTTTAAACATTGTAATAAATCTTCTACAGAAATGAAAACAATAGTATGACCTATAAATTTTTGAAAAACCACCTTTGTGGTTTTAATATAGGAGGGCCCTTTTGTTAAAAGCAATTGATTTCTAAATTGGTTGACCGGACACTTAACAGTTTTAGTCACATCTGTAGAAGATTCTTCACTATGTTCTGTTTCTAACGAGGTACTGAGGTTATTAATATATTGCCTAGAGAGAGCATCAGCTACTTTATTCTCTTTCCCAGGTTTATAATGAAAATTTGGCGAAAACTCTTCAATAAATGCACGCCATCTTTTCATTTTGGTGTTGGGATTTTTTTCTGAAATAGAGAATATAAGAGGCTGATGATCAGTAAAGATTCTTACATTTTTTGTACCATATAGATAATGTCGCAGAGTTTTTAATGCCCACACAATAGCCAGCATCTCACGTTCGTTTGTAGCATAATTTTGTTCAGTTGAAGAAAGCGTACGGGAAATCATTGTTATAGGTCGATTATTTTGAGATAATACCGCTCCCAAGGCATTTGACGAAGCATCAGTTGTTAGCTCAAACCCTGTAGGGAAAACACGAACTAGTGAACCAAATTTCTAGTTCAGTACTAGTTCTTTTTCGCCAAAAACGAACCAGTCCGATAGTAACTAGTCACGCACCAGTCCAAAAATAATGAAATGTGGTACTTTCACTAAACCATTTTATTTCAAATTTTAAACGCAGGGAAGGTAATCATTATAAGAAAAATAATTTAAATCAGCGTTTAATCATTATTTTATGAATTATTATTGAGTTTTATTTTTTCGCTCAAACGGAACTAATTATTATTTGATTTTTATTTTGGGATTACAAATAATGATTATTTTATGATTTTTATTTTTTCGCGCAGAGATTATCATTAATTTTGAGTTTTATTTTTCCAATTAAAATAATGATAATTTATAAAATTGAAAAGGCCATACATACACAACCTATTGAAATTTTGACCTTAAAAGTTTGGGTCTTATTCCTCTTATAAGGGTGCGGCTACCTCTCAAAAGGATACGTCGGTAATCACGCTAGTATAGTTTTTGAGTTGCTTAATAATCATTATACTTAGTGATTCCATAAACAAAGGCCAAGATCCTGAAGGACAATTGAGAAAGGCAATGCAGTTGCAGAAAAAGAGACATTTAAAAAAAAAAAGTGTAAAAATAATTATCACTTTCTCACTAAATTTATTTAAAAATGCAAGCCACCAGAGCTACCTTTTTTTAAGAAAAGACAAATTAATTTTTTTTTATGCAATCCAGCACAGCTACCTCAATACAGTCAGTCAATAAAGTTTAGCTACAACGAATTTTTTACAATACGGGCAACTATTTTTTAAATATTTTAGTTTTCGGTAATCTTTTATAAAAATACGGTCAATTCTACAACAAAATCCCCAAAAATCAGAGTTCCAAACCCGATGCAAAATTTAAGAAAATTCTGCAAAATTTCATTAAAATAATCCACTTTCTATTTACGCTCTCTAGAAAAAGTTTTTTAGCCCATTCAATTTTAGTATAGTGAAGTGATCTATTATTTTTATTGGCCAAATAATAGACATAAGATTA